ACTGACTTTAGTGATTGGTGGATAAATCTGAATAATAGTGGTATTAATTGGTCTTCCTTATGTTGTTGAAGTTTTGACTCATAGCATCCCTGCATAGGGTTCCAAGGAACAGCTGGTGAACTTGAACTGCCGACCAACCTTGCAGCCCAGTGCATTAATCCACAGTGCCACACCAGGGCTCCCTTATAGGCATATGGATATTATCCTATCACAAACAGCACTGTAGTTCAAGAGAGATCTTGGAATGTTCTTTTTAACATTGAATGTGACACCATTCCTCTTCAATTTGTCATTCCTGACATAGTAAACCATATGATGGTCTGATTCAAAATGGCCAATATCAGCCCATTTCAGCTCATTAATGTCTAAGATGTCAATCTTTATGCATTCCATTTCATTTCTGACAACTTCCAATTTTCCTAGATTCATGCTTCGTCTATTCCACATTCTGGTTATTAATGCATGTTTGCTGTTGTTCCTTCTCATTTTGACCTGTGCATCAGCAAATAAAGGTCCTGAAAGCTTGGCTCTATCCATGTCACTGAGGTCAACTCTACTTTGAGGAGGCAGCTTTTCCCCAGTCATATTTTGAGTACCTTCCAACCTGAGGGAACTCATCTTATGGCACTGTATCAGACAAAGTTCAACTACTATTCATAAGTTTTTTGTGGCTAACATTTCAGGGGAGTCCTGGTGTGGCTCTGTCAGATAAAGCACTGGACCACAAGGTCCATTTGAGCCACAAGGTCAGTGGAAACCCAATACAAGGTTGCTATAAGTCAGACCGACTCGGCGGCACCTAACAACAACAACAACAACTTTTCAGAGATGGTCTGCCTCTCCTTCCTAGACTGACTTAGTCTGGAAGCTCCCTTGAAACCTGTCCACCATGGGTGACTCTGCTGGTCTTTAAAATACCAGTGGCATAGCTTCTGGAAACACTCAAGCCACCACAGTATGACAAACTGACAGACAAGTGGTGGGGGTACATAATAAGGGCTTGTTGTCATTGTTGTGAAGTGCCATGGAGTCGGTTCTGACTCATAGTGACCCTGTATAGGGTTTCCAAGGAGCAGCTGGTGGGTTTGAACTGCCAACCTTTCAGTTAATAGTTCAGTGCTTATCCTAATGCACCACAGCAGGATTCCTATTGTTGTTAGGTGCCATCAAGTCAGTACCAACTCAAGGCGACCCTGTGCACAACAGAACGAAATACTGCCGGATCCTGGGCCAACCTTACAATTGTTGTCATTCTTGAGCCCATTGATGCTGCCATTTTGCCAATCCATCTCGTTGGGGGTCTTCCTTTTTTTGCTCTGACTCTCCACCTTAACAAACATGATATCCTTCTCCGGTGACTGTTCCCTCCTGACAATATGTCCAAAACATGAGAGACGAAGTTTGGCCATCCTGGCCTCCAAGGAGCACTCTGGCTGCACATCAGGACTCCAAATAGGGGCTTAATAAATGTTGACTAGATGAGGATTCAATCATCACTCTTGTGTGTAGCGATCTGTTGGCTGTGCATACAGCACCTTGGACACAAGGCCTGACCTGAGGGTGTGATGGTGCTGTGCAGTACATCTCTGAGACAGCTTGTGTGTGGGGAGTGGCCAAATGTGAGGGGTGCTATGCCTCTTGGGTGAGTGGTCCGGGCCACCTTATCTTGATGAATGGCCCTTGAAACCACGGGGCAAGATGAATGGCCTGCTAGGATTCAAGTGCATGGTCACCCTGACCTCTGAGAACAGGGACCAAGGAGACCCCAATGATAATCATTCTGTCCCCTTCCCTTTGAGGACAAGTTGGAGGCAAGTCTTGGTCTCAAATGTACAATTACGACTGATACTGAAATTTCTCCCTTCACAGCTGTCAACGCCCTCACTCCAACCCCAACTCCCCAGACATGTCTCACAGCTGTTGAGTCACGCATCCATGGTGGTGGTGGGTGTGTGGGTGGGGGGTAGCTGAGTCTATTGATTGAGGCCTGAGACATCCTCCCCACAAATCAACAAGTTAATAAGCTCCCTAATGAAGAGCTGGTGATTAATGAACCAATCAGCTTGCCCTTTAATTGGGGAGTGGAATTGGAGGGTGGGGGGTGTGATGGATAGAGAGAGTTTGTAAGATGAGGGGAGGCTGGCTCTTGGTCCACCCAGGGACCTTCTGCAGTACTTTTATTTTGACTTTAAAGGCAGGAGTGGGGTGGGGTGGGGATTGAGGGATAGAAGGGGGTGTATTTCTTCAGAGGTTGTACCCCAAATCTAGACCTTTGTATATACCCCCTAGTTTCTCCACTGTTTCTCCTCTCCCCAATCTGTTCTTGCACCCTACACTCCCCTGGGCATGAGGGGATTCCAGGAATACCACAGATTGCCTGGGGGCACGACAAAACCTCCCCCTTCTCTCTGCCCCATCAGTACACTGGAAACCACCTCCTGGACAGCCCCCACCCACCCTGTCACTAGAGATACTGGTGCAAAGCCCATCACCACCAGCAGTCTCTGATATTTTCAGCCACTGTAGCCTGAAGTCCTTGTCTAGACCCTGAACCTGGGATCACAGTTCTCCCAGCTAGTCCCCTGCTGCCATCTCTCTATTCCTAGGTGAGCGGTCTTTGTCTTCCCATGCCTTGGAAGGAATGAAGTGGAATGTGTTTATTTCTGCTGTTTCCTCCAAAGGGGCACAGGCTTGTCTTTTTCTCTGTCTCTGGGTTCTGGTAACCTCCCCAGATTAGGGCTCTCCTGGGTTGGTTGAGTGCCTCTCCTCTCAGCTTTGGGACCCCACCCCCACAAGGGGTTCTGAAAGGACAGGGCTGTGCTATGCCCCCAAGACTACGGCTTCCTGAGGAAGATTTTTTTCCTCTGAAGTAGCATCCATGTCCCATAGTACTGGTGTCCTCCATCCTTAACAAGAGGGCCTTGTCTTTCTTACGATGTTCAGGACCCATGAAGATGGCTGATAAGCTATTTCCGGAAAGTGCAGGTGATTGAACCCATAAAAAGGTGATTTGAGGCAGCCCTGGGCTCTCCATCTCAGGAGAGCTCTAAAAATAGCACCCTCAGCCATCTGTCCTGAAGAGTGGAGGGGTTGGCCCAGAATGGGGCCTGAGATAAGATGGCCCTGCTGCCCACAGGGGCTGATGGGATGCCTAGAAGCCCTGGAGGCTGTGGTCAGGCTGGGGAGGAGCTGTTAGGAGTCTTTCTGGTGTGGGCAGGTAGGTCTGATAGGATTGGCAGTCTGGAAGTCCCTCTCTCAGAGTGGGTGGCAGGCCCCCAAACTTGGTCTCCTCTCCTCAGCTGTCATGCATGACTCCTGATCCTCAGTGGTTATTCCTGGTGCTGTACCCTTCTGTCCCCATCATTGAGAAGGTTTTTGCTGGGAGTCTACCCCACCTCTTTTGTCTTGTTCAGATCCTAGTTGACCTCAAGGCTCAGAACTTCAGTTTCCTCATTTGGAATCCATGAATAAACTCAGTCCTCCAATCATGTCTGCGGTCATGTTATGCAGTAGGTATTTAATGAACATTTGAACTTTCCTCTTTCTGAGGTCCAGTGGTGACTGCAGTGGGCCCTGGCATCCCCCAGACCTAGAAGGCACTGGTGTGGGGGTAGGGGCACACTGTATCAGGATCCCTCCTGTATAGGACTCTAAATAGGACTGGTTGGACCCTGGTCTGATGCTATTAGGCTGGACGCAGATGGCCCATTCTGACTCTGGGGCTCTGTCTCCTCCCACCCTTGTCTCCAACTCTTCATCTGAGAGAGAACATAATAAGGTGTCCAGAGAGGGCCCCCAGGACGTCAGAAACAGCAGCTGAAGGGTTGTTGTTGTTGTTCTTGTTAAGTGCCATCAAGTCGATTCTGACCCATAGCAGACCCTGTATTAGGGTGAGCTTGAACCACCAAACTTTCAGTTCAAACAACTTTGCAGTCTGATGCATTAACCCACAGCACCACACCAGGACTCCAGCTAAGCAGTTGTTGTTATGTGCCATGGAGTCGGTTCCGACCCATAGTGACCCCGTACAGGGTTTCAGAGGCTGTAAATATGGGAGCAGAAAGCCTCATCTTTCTCCCACAGAACAGCTGGTAGTTTCGAACTGCTGACCCTGAGGTTCACAGCCCAATTCGTAACCACTACACTACCAGAGCTGGCTAAGAGACCATAATTCTCACTCCTGTCTCTACTAGAAACTTTTCCTCAGGTCCTGTCCCTTTCTGGGCCTTCTCCAAGGTGCTACAAACAACAGGCTGGAAAGGTGTCCTTTGCGCCAGCTATTCACAGGCAGTATGGATGCTGATCCTCGGTCCTAGAGCAGCCCTAGCAGTCTGAATCCAAGCCACACTTCCTCAGGAAGCTAGACCTGCCATTGCGTGCTTCGTGAAGACCCAGTTCAGGCTGGGCACCTTGTCTAGAGGTACCCTGAGTCTTAGTGTGTTGGCTGCCCCCCACAGCCGTGGAGGTGGAGACATCACGCACAGGCTGGGTGTAGCTCAGCAAACAGGGCGGGGTGGAGGGAGAGAGGAGGAAGGGCCCTCCTCCGCGGGGCCCCCTCCCCCTGAGGTTCCCCCTCCCTTCCTGCCTGGGATATAAGCCCCGCAGGGAAAAGGCGAGCAGCAGCAGGACCTGCGGCAGATCAGCCCTTGGGACCTCCCTGCCTTTCACCTCCTGCTCATCTCTGCTTCCGGAGCTGTCGCTGTGAGTGGCTGGGGGCCAGACTTCTCTGTGGGGACACTGAGGCTGGAATAGTGGGAACAGGTGGGGAGGAGAGGGGCCTGGAAGCCTCCGCCTGCCAGTATGGCCTTCTCCCTCCAGGGGCCTCACTCAGCAGTAGCTTGGGGTATAGGTGGGGGCAGACAGGGCTTTTGCGCCTCTGACAGATGAGGAAACAGGCTAGAAACAGTGCAGTGGCCGAGGACACACAGCGGGGCAACCGCAGTCTCAAGGTTGCCTGCAGCCGTCGGGGATTGAGGCTGGCATTGACGGGTGTTCCACAGATGGTGACAGGGCACAGGTCGTGGCCCGCCAAGGTAACAGTGCTACTGCTGGTCCTGCTTGCCTGCCTGGGGACGATGGTCGACGCCTACCCCTCCAAACCCGAGGCTCCGGGCGAGGACGCCTCCCCAGAGGAGCTGAGTCGCTACTACACCTCCCTGCGCCACTACCTCAACCTGGTCACCCGGCAGCGGTGAGCGCATGCGCGGGGCAGGAGGGGCAAGGTGTTGGGATTTTCTGTGCTTCATCCCACTCCATCCAAAGGGCGTGGCTTGACACGACCACGCCCTCAGCTGGCCTCGTCCCCCAGGTATGGAAAACGGGACAGCCCCGACGCTCTCCTGTCCAAACTGCTCTTACCTGAGGCCGAGGGACGTCCAGTGAAGTCGCGGTAATGCCCTCCTCGCCATACCCCTGCCCCCTAGAGCCTGACCTGGTCCCACTGCTCCATGGAAACCTCAGAGGCACCACCACTCTCCCGCTCCTTAGTGATGCTTTTCTTTCCCCCAGCAGCTCCGAAGGCGCCTACATGTGGTGATGACCCCCAGGGTCTCCTGGGAGATAAGCCAGTCACACCGACTTCATTTGCATATTTGCCCCTGACCCCTGGACCTGGAGCGCTCTCTGCAGGCTGCTTTGGGGGAAGGTTCGGGCTGGGTTCCTCAGTCCTTTACTCAGTGCTCCCGGCTCCTGGAGGGGAGCTTTGTGTTTGGTCCTTCCCTGATCCCGAAATAAAAAGCAAACTTCACAGAAACAGAATGTGTGTTTGTATTTCCTTTTTCTTCTCTTTCTCATGGAAGTGATATTTCGATGGGAGTGGACAGTGGAGGCGAGACTGGGGGAGGGGAGATTAAACCGGGCACCCCAGACGAATACATCCCTGAGTGTCCCAGGACAAAGCTAGGGGGCGGGCTCCCCTACTCGGAGATAAGAGAAAACACTGCTGCCCAGCCCGAGGGTAAGCAGGACAGTACTCAGACACAGGACTTCCTGGAACGTTTTAACCCAATGGGGTAAGGATTCTTGAAAATAGGGGGCTAGGAGGAGAAGGAGGGACCAGAGTCTGACGGGAGGATGGGAAAGAACATGCTAGGTAGCCTAGGGATGTAATGGGGACAAAGCTGTCATCTCCTACCCTTGAACCCCCATCAGTGACTCTGGGAGGAAAGAAAACTCCCAGACTGGCTCTGCCATAGCTGCAGGGGAGACCCCTTCTCAGAGATCCTGTGCTGCCTCCCACCCCCACCTGGGTCAGCCTGGTTGGCCAGAAAGCCAGGCCCAGGGCAGTGGAGGTAGAGCCAGAAGGGTGAGGCAGACAGCAGGCCTGGCCTGCTGCAGGTCACTGACTGTATCCATTCGGGGGCTTGTGCCTTTGCCTTCTGCAGAACCCCTTTAGTTTCCTCAATCTGAAACACCTTCAGAGTAGCCTTCATTTCCTTCCCTACTTCTTTCCTGATTCTGTGGGGCAGAGTTAGTTTCTCTGGCTCCCTTTCTGTATTACCCAAGTCCTCAGTTTCTTTTAAACAATGCTTTAACATCCACAAAATGACCCACAGCTGCACTTGAATAACCATGATCACCAAGAACCCCTGGAAACCTTAGATAGTTAAGCATGGCCATCCAGGGGTCCACTTCTTTCAAAATTCTTCTTTCAATAAGAAGCCTGTGTGTCTACTTTGCTCTTTTCTCCTGACCACAGTTCTGCTTCCTCTGCCTTGTGACCAACCCCAGTGCTTCCCCTGGGTCCTGCGTGGCTTGCTGTGATCTTGCCAAGATGCTGTCAGTACAATAAAAATCTTCAACAAAAAATTTTAAAACTTTTTATTATGATCTGGATGAAAGTTTGCAGAGCAAATTGTTTTGTTTTTAAAACCTTTTATTGTGAATTGGTTGAAGGTTTACGGAGCAAGTCATTTTCCACTCAACAATTCACACACATTTTATTTCATGTCATTAATTGCAATGCCCACGATGTAACATCTCTTATCTCATATCTTCTCTGTATTTCCTGTTTCCATTCCTCCTTCTTTCTACCCCTTCTTGTCTTCTGAAGTTTGTTTTTGGGTAAATACTGTTCTTCTGATCTCAAATGCTTGGTTATCCTAAGTTGTGAGTATCTCCCTAGGTTTGTCATTCATTCCCGAAAATAGAATGGCATGAGTCACTTTCACGCTCAGTCAATGGTCTCCCTCACTGCCTGGACTACTTGGGAGATGTCATTAGCTAAGTGGCATGTGCCCACCTCAAGCTCTTTTAGGAAGGAAGAAGAAGAGAATGAATATGAGGGCAACAAGGGCTAAAGATGGCTTTGACAGCCCCCTATCACACACACCTAGGACCCCTTGTCCCACTCTTTTTGGACAAAGTCAAGTCCACTTGAAGGCTTTGACCACTCACTCACTCATATGGAGCCTGGGTCCTGCTTCACTTGCCTCATCCTAGGGACCCCATCTGCCTCTAGGTCCCCTGCAGTCTCCAAGTCCCTTCCTGTGGTCCCAGGACCTGCATCAATCCCCAGATTCACAATCAGTTTGCTGGGACTTGGTCCTGATGTGAGAAGCGGCCAGGACTAGTTCCAACACCAGTCCTGTAGGAGCCTAAACCCTTTCTGAGCTGGGATTGGAGCCCAGCGCCCTCTGGTGGCACCTCTGCCAGCTTCACTAGTGGGATGCCTAGAAGAAGCCACCATTATTGTTCAGCGCCCTTGTTTTTATCAAGTGGGAAATCGAGGCCCAGAGAAGGACTGGGACTGAGGCAGAATAAGCTTTACATTTGCTTTGTGGAATGTATTTTTCTGTCTGATGAGGCATTCTTGTTTTCCTTGCTATCAGAAATCAGAATTGCGAGAATCAAGGTAGACACTGATGTCTACTTAGCTTTCTCTATCCTATCTTGAAGTCACCATGATTAGTTCTATTTTACAGAGAGGAAAACCAAGGCTCAGAGAGGTTACAGAAATTACTCACACAGCTTTTCAGTGGACCTAGGCCTGTCTGACACCATACCACACACACACACACACACACACACACACACACTGGTGTTCTGATCCGGGCAGTAGGGCCACAGGAGTGACAGATCCTTTGTCCTCTACTCTAGCATTGACATTGTGTGTCATTCAGATATAGTTACTACTCTAGGACCTGAGGCACTGAAAAGGGAAGACAGAAAGACTACTGGGAGGTTGGGGTCAATGAGGTTGGGAATCTAGGTTAGAATTTGAGTCCTGGATAGCTGTGTGATCTTGGGCACGTATTTTCACTTCTGTGAGCCTCAGAGTTCTTAGTTCCGGACTGAGAAATTATAGCAACACTTTGATGGACCCACTTAGGGAAAAAAAAGCCCAGATTTTGGAGTTTGACTTGGTCTCAAACCCTGGTTCTCCCACTGATTAACTTTGTGGCCTGAGCCTCAGTTTTGGCATCTGTAAAATGGATGGCTGTAGGGATTTAGTGAAGTGATGGAACTGGGAGCATTTTCGAGGTTTTATAAATGATGTTGATTTTTTTTAATAACTCCCCTGGGAAGGGAGGTGCTGGGAATGTCTGTGATAGGAGGAGAAATCACAACCAGAGTTGGGACCCCACTTTCCCCTGGACCCAGGCACTTCATTTATCCTCTTACACACGTTAGCTGGGCTTCTCCCTGCCTGGGTCCCCACCTCTCTCTGAATTGCCCAAGTACCTGAGGTTCCTCCCTGTTTCCGTCTCATTCTGATCTTAAATTGGAAAGGAAGGTTTAATGCTCCAATCTTCATCACTAGGGTCTCAGAGTTGGAGCTTCAAGCTTCTGCCCTCAAGGAATATGTTTGATGATTTGGGTTCATCCTTGGGAGGTGGAGGCCTCTGATTAGAACTTTCCAGGGTCTCTAAAGTCCTAGAACCCAGGCCTTCTTGACAGAAACCAGCTGTGGTACCTAAATGGGGCAGGGGAGGGTGGCAGGGGCACCAGGAATGGGGCCCATGGGAGACTTTTATCAAGGTCCAGTATTATGCTGATGCTTCCACAACACTGCCACATCCCTTCCCACCCATCCAATGCTGCCATTACAGACACCAGGGAGACAGGAGGATGGGGTGAGAACATAAGCAAGTGAGAGAGGCTGTCAGGAGGCAGGGACTTCCAGGAGGCCTGAGGACTTAAAGGGTCAAGGGTGGGGGAGACCCATCCAGCCTGAGGCAGGTGCCCACTCTCTCCAGTGCCCACTTGCCTAGGACTCAGGGTAAGAGGGCTTGGTTGGGGGTGCTAGGGCTGTGGGTCTCTGGACAAACCTGTCATACTGGAAAAGCAGTCTGCCAGAGAAGAGAGAGCGAGTTCACAGGAAGGAGGTCTGTGGCTGCAGACAAGACCAGGTGACTAGGACATGTGTGTGACTGGGGCTCATGTGCGTGTCTGGAGTTCATGTGTGTGACTGGGACATGTGGAGGGGTGACTGGGACTCAGGTGTGTGACTGTATTAGTCAGCCTAGGGCGTCATGAGCACTAGTCTCCTCTAGGACCTGTGTCAGCATGTCCCCCTAGTGTGTGTGTGTTGGGGGGGGGGTGGCAAGTGAAAGGCAGGGATGGACCTACAAGGCCATGGATTCTGTCCTTGGTTCACAAGTTCATTTTGGGTGCCCCAACTTCCCACCCGCCTTTCACCCTATCCTCTCACCCCTCCACTAGCCCTGATGTCAGCAGTCCCGTGCTTCCTGCCCCAGGTCCCCAGCTTCTCCGCCACACTTTTCTTCTTTGTGACGCACAAGCTAAGCTCCCGCCGTTACCCACAAGAGGCTTGTCTGTGCCCTGAGGGTGGTGTGTAGGAAGTGGGGTGGGCTTTACTCTCATACTTGTCTCCCTCTTGGGGAAATGGGTGATGGACTCCAGGCTGGGCACATGGGTCTTGGTCCTTGGGGGTCTTCACACTGGGCTTGTTCCATCTCCTGGCTTCCCAGCTGGCTACCACCCAATGCTGCCTCTCCCTGCTGTTCCTGCCCACTTACGTGGCTCTGCTACGGCAGTCACCACACGGATCCTGACTAGAGCCAGTGTACCTGGGGGACGCCACCACCCCAGAGCAGCTGAGGTCCTCGGAAACATCAACATGCTATGTGTGAGAGGGAACAGATGATCCTGGGCCAAGACTCCAGCCCCAGCCCTTCCGTGCCTGCTCTGGGCACACAGGGCTTCTTCCTGACAAGGCCTAGGTTCCTGGTCCCAGGAAGACAATGTCAAAGGTAGGTCTGTGGCAGGTGAGTTGGCTCCTGGGGAGAGTGCTTGCCTCTGCTGCTGCTCCCTTCCCAGGTATGGGAAAAGAGACGCAGAGGACACGCTGTACTTCCAGTAATGGGACACCCCCCAGGTAGTAGCCTCCAGGTAGGTTTCATTTTCTTCCCTGCCTGCTTGGGGCTGAAACTAGAGTGGGAGTCGGGGACAGGAGCCAGATTAGCACTTGAACAGGTGGGATCAGGGCTGCTCTGAAATCTGCCCACTGGCTCCTTAGAGCGTCTCAGGTGGATGGATTGTAACAGCTCAGCTCCACCTGCGTCCTCCGACTTC